GGTGAATGAGGTATCTATCACTAAAGCATGTATTCTTTGTGCTACAAACAATCCAAGTACACTCTTTCAGTTATTTTTAAATATATAATTAAATTATTGACTATAGTCGCTCTGTTGTGCTATTAAACACTAGATTTTATTCATTCTTTCTATGTTTTTGACAGACCTATAATAAAGTTTAACTTATAATTTTTTTTTTTTTTGAGATGGAGTTTTGCCCAGGCTAGAGTGCAATGGCATGATCTCAGCTCACTGCAACCTTTGCCTCCTGGGTTCAAGCCATTCTCCTGCCTCAGCCTCCTGAGTAGCTGGGACTAAAGCCACAAGCCACCACACCCAGCTAATTTTTGTATTTTTAGTAGAGACGGGGATTCACCATGTTGGCCAGGCTGGTCTCAAACTCCTGACCTCAGATGATCCGCCCTCCTTGGCCTCCCAAAGTGCTGGGATTACAGGCGGGAGCCACCGCACCTGGCCCTAACTTATAAATTAGGCACAGCAAGAGATTAAAAACAATAACTAATAATAAAATAGAGCAATTATAACAAATGCCAGCATCACTACTCTTGTGCTTTGGGGCCATTATTAAGTCAAATAAGGGTTAGACAAACAGAAGCCCAGCAACACCGAGGCAGTCGGTCTGACGGCCACGATGGCCACCAAGTGACCGAGTGACTCAAGGGAGGGGAGTGTGGACAGCGTGCAGGCGCAAGATTTCATCACGCTACTCAGAACAGCGTGCAATTTAAAACGTATGAGTTGTTTATTTCTGGAATTTTCCATGTACTGTTTTTGGTTGACTGCAGATCAGGAGGGACTACCACACACTTAAAAGGGCCCCAGTTCCATGATGAAACCCTCAGGCTGAGAGGAAAGACTGGGACAAACAAAATCCCCAAGGCACTGAGGTTCTTTCCCTAATTTCAAGCCTGTTGCCTCTACACCTCACTCATACCCATTGCAACTTCGCCTGGATCCAGAGAGCCCTGAAGAGTTCCTGGCTGGGTGTGGTGGCTCATGCCTGTAATCCCAGCACTTTGGGAGGCCAAAGTGGGCGGATCACCTGAGGCTGGGAGTTCAAGACCAGCCTGACCAACATGGAGAGCCTGACCAACATGGAGAAATCCCTGTCTCTATTAAAAATACAAAATTAGCCAAGCATGGTGGCGCATGCCTGTAATCTCTCAGGAGGCTGAGACAGGAGAATCACTTGTACCTGAGAGGCAGAGGTTGCAGTGAGCCGAGATTGTGCCACTGCATTCCAGCCTGCACAGCAAGAGCGAAACTCTATCTCAAAAAAAAAAATTTTCTCAATGCATCATCTGGGACATGAACACGGACAAGCACCTGGTCAGGAAAGGGAGGCCTCATTGCTCCCATCCCTGCAGAAGTAGGAGAGGCCAGATCTGGGTCCCTAGCTCAGCCTTTTGCAATACCTATTTTTCAATTAGTAAAATGGAGAGAATGATCATAAAGCATCATGAGTCCCAGTCAACGGGGACACTCAGACAAGTAGGAGCACAAGGGCTTCTGCCACAGCCAGGAGTATCTGGTGGTTACAGCCCCCTAACAAAACCCTTTTATGTAATAGTCCAAGTCAGAGAAAGTGTTTTCCATTGTGAAAACCTGCAGACGACAAAAGTTCTCAGGAAAGATGCTCAGGCTGACGGGGACCAACCCAGATAAAATTCAGGTTTGCCAAGCTAGGCCATTTCACCTGGGAGGCCAATTTGTCCAATCTCCATGCTGGGTGGCATCCCACCCAGAGACTCTGTGCCCCACCCCCCCCAACATGTGGCTTTAGGAAATTCCCGCCGTTTGGAGATTGGTGCTCTGATGGCTTGTAGCAGCCCCTATCCTGAAGAGAGCGGGTAGCTAAAGGAGCCATAGCCTAAAAAGGCAGCCCACATTTCCGGGCAGGTGTTTCTGATTTTTCCCAAAGAGGAGCCACCTGTGATTTCCCACAGGTCTGTGCTCTTTGCAGGGACCTCAGAAGGGCAGGTTTGGGGTGAGTGGGGCAGGACAAGGAGCTGAAGTTGTGAGCTGCTGCAGGGGGGCGGGGATGTCCCCAAGTCTGACAAGTCCTCACCTTCTGGGGTTTCAGGCCCTCCAGATCCCTGAGAAGTGAAAGCTGCTTCTCATCTCTGGCCAGGACTCGAAGAACCTGGTCCCTAGAAAAACACAGAGGGGGCAGAGGAAGCTTCGGAGAAGGATCCCTGGAAGGCTGTGTGTGTCCCTTGGATGGGGCCGAGTGGAGCAGAGGCTCAGCTGAGGGCACCTGGCAGGAAGGCTGGGAGGCACTGCATGAGTTGAGGCTGAAGGAGCCCTGAGCAGGCAGAATGCGCAGGCAGCCCTGAGAAGCACGTGTTCCCTCAGCCTAGAGTCAGTGAGCTCTCCAGCCCCCAGGACAGACCACCCAGGGGCTAAACAAAGCTTGTCAGTGCTACTGATGGACTGAAGGCCAAACCAGGGGAAGAAGGAATGGAAAGGAATGGGGAGAGGGTGTTGTGTGGAACTGAAGGAATGAGGGGGAGAAAGGAATAGACACAGGGCTGGGGGGACTAATGGTGGCCCCAGAGGCTCTTCACGTGGGGGCCCCAAGGCCATGGTCTGTCTCAACGCCTGGAAGGTGAGATCAGATAACCTCACCTCACCTGACAGGGAGGAAGTTGAGCTCCTTCCCTTCCCAATGTAGGTGGGTTGGAGGTGGCGTAACCAAGAGTCCTGTGGTGTGGGTACGACGCCTGGGATGGGGTTAGTGCCCCTGCTGGCTGGCTCTGAGACTGTGGGTGAGGAACTCCCTCTTTAAGCTTGCTGTGCCTCCTCTTCTCTACTGTGGAGTGAGGCATCCAGCTCAGGACCTTGGGGAGGCTCAAGCACATCCATAGAGGGCCTGGCATGTAATTTACTAGAACTTCCTGTCATCCATTTTTGGTAGGGGACATAGTCTTGTCGGGGCTACAGCTTTTTTGAGAATTGGAGGAAAGCTATGAATGCTTCCTCCTCAAAGAAGCGCCTGCTGTATAGGAAAATCATTGCATGTGGTTTCAGGGATCGTGGAGCCCCAGGGGCATCCTCCTGGACTCTGGATTTGGGGAGGACTGCCAAGCAGCCAGCCCTGGAGCATGAAAGTGGGAGACTGAGGAGCTGCAAGTGGGTTCAGGACAGGAACCCACATCCTGACTCTCCGCCTCCATCAGGCACTAGCGGGGCGGCCACCTCCTGCTGGGACATCCGGTCCCCTCCTCCCTCCCACTGCCGGGCAGCCACTCACCCTGTGAAATTCATTTGGCCGAAAGCCACTGCCAGAATAAAGCTGAAGATCAGGAGCATCCGCCTGTCCACGGGGTACAGCCCAGGGTGGGTCCCTCCTCCAGGGATGCCCTGCATGCTTCTTCCTCCTGGAGAGCTTCAGGGGCTTTCCTTGTGCACCATGGCCCAGGCCTCAGGACAGCGCAGCACCTAGAGACTGGAAGCCCGACCCAAGAATGAGCATTAGGCTCTCTGAGGGACCCAGCATGTGGCCCCCACATGCCAGGCCTTGGGAGAGCTAGGGCTGCCCCTCCCTAACCCAGCACATCCTCTCCTGGGAAGGGGAGAGGGAGGAGACAAGGAGGAAGACAGGCCCTTCGCTTTTCTTTTCTGTCGGGAGGTTTGCCAGGCCAGCCCCTTCTGAGTATCAAAACCTCCATCTCTGGAGAAAGACCAGAGTAGCCAGTAGCCCTGGGACACCCCTCCTTTCCTCCTCCTCCACGGCATCTTCTCTTTTGCTCTTGTTCTCCCCCTGGCCCAGTCACGCTTTCCTTGTAAGCCATATCCTCCTTACACATAAGAGTGTGACGCCATTGCAAGACGGCTGGGTTTACAGACAGAGACTGGGCGCTCACTTCCTGCCTAAAAGATCTGGAGCAGCCGCCCTAATCTCTCTAAATCTCAGTTTACTCATCCATCAAATGGGCTTAATCATACCTCCCCTCCCTAGCTCCCAGGGTTTAGAGGGGTATTAGATGAGACAGCTTGAGTGAATTGGCTTAGGAAAGCCTGCAAAATGCAATGCGTTATTATTTCAAAAGCATTAACTCTTAGTCACAGCCGCATTTGAGGTCAGTCCTCCGGTGGCAACGAGGAGAAGGGGAAGAGAACAGAATGGAGAGGAGAACAAAGGGAATAACTATGTATTGTCTGAGAAGGAATTCAATCAAGATTCCCTTTTCTCTATCTTCAGGTGGTCACCATTGTGCTGGCACAGATCGCGCGTTTTCTAGACACGAAGGTCACCGCAGTCATTATTATAGTTCTCCACAGACAGCAGAGTCAATTTCTCAGTCCTGCTGAAGCCCCACACAGTTCCCTTTACAGTCTGGGAATCGCAGAAGTGAAGCAGGGGCCAGCACACAAAGCAGTCATATTGGAGGGAGAAAGTGAAAGATGATGCCTGAATGGCAGATGATGAATCTAACAGAAAATCCACAGGGGGTGGGGGAAAGGCAGAGACTGAATCCAACCAAGTCGTTCAGCAGAGGACGTCAACAAAAGGCCACTTAACTGTCACCGGCGATTCTCAGAAGCCCCCCTCCCCAGCCATACTATCCCAGAATAGCCAATTAACTGGCCATGCGTGCAGAGAAGGGAGCTCTTTTATCGACAGAACGCCCGGCTCCCCCGCCTGCCTACCCTACTCCATTATTTTGTAGTTCAGCTGTTCAGACAGGCCAGACTCTCCTAGAACCCTGGCTTTGGGGACTCTCAAACAGTAACATTTGCAAAGGGTTTAAGGACCTAGAAAAGAAAGCAGTTACGCTTTCCACCCAAGTAACATTCAACTTCAGTAGCAATGGAAATAAAAGGGAATTTCAAAGGAAAAAAATGGAGATGGTGCTAGTCACCAAAAGAACCCAGCGTCTTCTTGTTCAAAAACATCATTTTAAGCCACTAATAATGAGACAAGTATCCCTGTACTTGGCTTAAGGGTGGGAATAGAAAGAGTGAGAGAGCAAGAACAAGAGTGAGAGAGAGAGAGAAGCAGTTGGGAATTTTTGAGAATTCTATGACACAGCTTCCAATAGAACTTTCTGTGACAATGGAAATGTTCTGTGTCCACGTGGCCCAAGAGGATAGCCACTAACCACTTGAAATGTGGCTATTGTGCCTGGGAAACTGAGTTTGGGGTTTTATTTAACTTTAATTAATTTAAGTAAAATTTTAATAGCCACATGTGGCTAATGGCTACCATACTGAACAGCAGAGTTCTATGGGAATCCACCAACCCTGAAAGCACCATCTCCAGTGGCTGGATTTGTTATTGATTTTTCTTCCTCTAAGTTCATAGTAGACGGGTAATGTGCTGACATCGTAATACGGTTTCAGGGTGACACATCTCACACATGCATGCTTGAGCACCCAATTATGCTTATGAACTACAGTTACCAGCTTATGGCTGGGTTTGAAGCAGACACATAGCTATGCTTGACCTAATACCTCATGTTGGCTTTTCACTCATAATTAAGTATTCATCTAATCATTTACTCAGTAAATTTCCACTGAATACCTACTATGTGCCAGGCCCTTCCTAAAGTCTGGAAGTAAAATAGAAAGCAACACATACCTGGCTCTTACATTTCTGAAGAGTGACCTGGAGACTAATGGTAACCCATCTGACTCCAGGTAAGTGTAAAACTATGGCTGGTGTTTGTGCCACAAGGGAAAGGTGCATCACACCACGTGGATGGGTTGGTTCCATGTAGACTGAAGGAGAATTTCCTTCAATCAGAAATTTTAGTGGAAGGCTTTTATTTCCTGCTGGTGAGTGGGTTAGATACCTAAGCAATGCTATCCAAATGAAAAACTCAAATGCAGGATAAAATACTTTTAGTAACAACTTTTTAAAGCCATCACTGGGTTGGCACAAACGTAAGAATCTACAGATCCCAAAAAGAAGGAAAAGCCAGACACCCAAGAGGTAAGCAAGCTTTTCCTCGGAGAACTCAGAATGCTGGAGTTTTTGATTTTCCTACCGGCATGGACCGTGTATCTCAAATCATCTGCCCGCTGCTTCAAATCTATCTTTTCAAACCTTCCTTTAGTGAAGGTTTCTGTGTTTATTTATTTGAAAATTCCTGGCCAGGTGTAGCAGCTCACTCCTGTAATCCCAGTGCTTTGGGAGGCCAAGGCAAGAGGGGCCCAGGAGTTTGCTTGACCCCAGGAGTCCGAGACCAGCCTGGGCAAGTCAGGGAGACCCTATCTCTGCAAAAATAAAATAAAATAATAAAATTAGCTGGGCATGGTATAGCATGCATCTGTAGTCCTAGCTACTCGAGAAGCAAGCAGATCAATTGAGCCCAGGAGTTTGAGGCTGCAGTGAACCATACTCTAGCCTGGGTGACAGAACAAAAACCTGTCAAAAAAAGAAAAGAAAAAGGAAAGGAAGAAGAAAGGCAAGAAAAGAAAGACAGGAAGGAAAGAAGAAAAGAGAAGGGGAGGGGAGGGGAGGGGAAAAGAGGGGAGGGGAGGAGAGGGGAGGGGAGGGGAAGGGAGGGGAAGGGAGGGGAGGGGAGGGGAGGGGAGGAATGTTTTGCTCCCATTCTTGAAAGGGTTTTTGGGATGGAAATTCTAAATTGATTACTGTTTTCCTCTCAGCACATTGAAAATATTATCTGGCTTCCATTTTTACTGCTGAAAGGTAGTCGGTTTGTTGACTTACTGTTCTTCAGAAGGTGACCTCTCCGTTCCTGGTTGCTCTGAAGATCTTCTCTTTGCCTTGGATGTTCCACACTTTTATTATCATGTATTCTTCGGATACACCATCATATGTCCAGGTATGGATTTTTGTTTTGCTTTGTCTTGCTTGAGAATCATTTGAATTCCTGTATCTGAGTATCACTCTATCACTCGCTTTCCACTATTTTCCAAATTTCTCAGCCATTATGTTTTTAAACATTGCCCCTTTTCCACTCTGTTACCTTCATCTGGAATTTTTGACTCGTTCCACCTCATTCTAGCCCCCAAGACTCATAACCATTCTGTTATATTTCCATTGTGTTGTCTCTCTGGGCTACATTCTGAATAATTTATTTGTAAAAAAAAATTTGTGTCATTATTCCAGTTAACTGATTCTTGCATTGGCTGTGTTTAATCTGCAATTTAATTGATCTGTGAAGTTTTACTTTCAATTGCTACAGTTCATTGATTCAACCTTTTTTTTTTTTTTTTTTCACATTTTAACACTGCTAAAATCAGGATACATCTTACAATTGGTGGCATCATGCAATGACCATCGGCAGTATTTTTGATGGCGCTTAAAATTGTGACGCATCTTATAAAATCAATCCTGTTTTGTAGTCAACACAATATGGTATTCATTTTTCATTTTTGGAAGTTCTACTTGATACTTTTTTTTGATTCAAGCCCAAATGACTTGAATTTCTTATCTATTTTAGAATTTCTTGATATTTCTTTGAACGTATAAGACAGATATTTTATATTCTGTGTCAGATAATTACAATTCCTAGACATTCTAAGCCTATTTCTGCTGCGTGTTCTTTCCGCTGGTTCTCACTCATGGTGCGTTTTCTCTCACGTCACGTATCTGTGAACCAGTCATTTTCCTTGAACACTTATCTATGGAACTCCCTTGAGGCCTAGGTTGAAGGTGGGTTCTTCTGAGGAGATTTGCATTTACTTCTATAAGTTTCTGGGGACACTACCAACCTGAGACCATTCTAAATTAAATAGTTTAAGGTCGTTTATTTGGACTGCATAGTTAGCATAAACGTAAACCACAAACTCAGGTTGGGGGCTTACTTGTGGTTATGAAATCTCAGGAAATATTTTCCCAGCGTCATCTAACACCAAAGTTTTAAGTCCTGGACAAGAATAGCATGTTATGTGCAAGTGAGTCATCAGAGTTAAAGTGTCTTAAGGTCCCAGAATTGTTGGGAGAAAAGAGAGATACTGATAATTTTTCAGATTTTGGTAAATATTCATGTTCAATGAGCTAGAGCAACAACTAGAAGAACGGGCCGAGTGTATATAACTTCCAAACAGTTAGCAAGGGGAAAGATGAAATGAGATGAAGGAGGAAATACACACCAGGAGTAGATGAGGAAAATAGGTCTACAAAAAGGAATTTTTAAAAGTAGAACATAAAAAGACCCCAGAGCCTAGGAAAAAAAAAGTAGAACAATTTGAAAGGGCATAAAAAGAAGAAACTTGCCTAAATATAGCTGCAATAATACTAAATGTAAATGGATTCAACTCTTCAGTACAAGACAAAAACAATCAATATTATTTATTTCTGTATTTATTTTATTTATTTTTTGAGACGGAGTTGAACTCTGTCGCCAGGCTGGAGTGCAGTGGCACAATCTCAGCTCACTGCAACTTCTGCTTCCTGGGTTCAAGCAATTCTCCTGCCTCACCTTCCCAAGTAGCTGGGACTACAGGTATGCACCACCATGCCCAGCTAATTTTTGTATTTTTAGTAGAGACGGGGTTTCACCTTGTTGGCTGGATGGTCTTGATCTCTTGACCTCGTGATCTGCCCACCTTGGCCTCCCAAAGGGCTGGGATTACAGGTGTGAGCCACTGTGCTCGGCCCAATATGATTTATTTAAAATGCTAGCTATATGGCCAGGTGTGGTGACTCAGGCCTACAATCCCAGCACTTTGGGAGGCCAAGGTAGGCGGATCACTTGAGGTCAGGAGTTTGAGACCAGCCTGGCCAACATGGTGAAACCCTATCTCTACTAAAAATACAAAAATTAGCTGGGCATGGTGGTGGGAATAATCCCAGCTACTTAGGAGGCTGAGGTGGGAAAATCGCTCAATCCTGGGAGGCTGAGGTTGTAGTGAGCCAAGATCATGCCACGGCACTCCAGCCTGGGTGACAGAACAAGACTGTCTCAAAAATGAAGGAAAGAAAAAGATACTAGCTATATGGTTTCACAAGAGGCACTCTTAAACCATAAGAACAAAGAGAGACTCAAAGTCAAGAATGGAAAATATATATTCCAGGTCAATGCTAACAAAAGAAAACACATGGCCAGGTGCAGTGGTGCATGCCTGTAATCCCAACACTTTGGGAGACCAAGGAGGGAGGATTGCTTGAGGACAGGAGTTCAAGACCAGCCTGGGCAACATAGGGAGACATTGTCCCTACAAAAAATAGAACTAAATTAGCCAGGCATGGTGGCATGAACCTGTGGTCTCAGCTACTTGGGACATCCCTTCTCAAAAAAAAAAAATCAGTAATAATTCTAACAAGCAATGTGCAATCCTCCCTGTTTGAAGTAAGCAGGTATATGCAAACCTGCCCCCAAAGTCTTAGGAAGCTGAGAGATCCAAGAAAGAGGCTGACAAATCTGTTCTTTAGAAAGAAACATTTAATAGGGACTTACAAACACAAGCATGTCTGTGTCTTAGGTGTTGGTGAAGCTGGTGGATTCCTGCGCCGTTACCCCCCAGACCCATGGCCCATTCCACAGAGACAGGATAACTGAGAAGGGATGTGTAGGACAGTTGAAGGATGACAGTATCAAGCCTGTGCCAAGCCAAGGACAAGAATCACGGCTAGCACATACTCCCACACAAGGAACAACAGACAAACTGGAAACCCCAAGGCCTTCCCCAATCCGGGAGCAACCAGAAGTCAACATGGCAGATTAGCATCCAAGATGGAGTTACTTTGGCCTCCATACTTTGTGGAGACAATTATAAAACTATTGGAAATTGCTAGCATTCCAAACAAATCTAACAGTATACAATATTCTTAAACAAGAAAACTCAATGTCATCACACTACTGCACTCCAGCCTGAGCGACAGAGTAAGACCCCCATCTCTACAAAAAGTTAAAATTAGCCAGGTGTGATGGTGTGCACCTGTGGTCCCAGCTACTTGGGAGGCTGAGGTGGGAGGATGACCTGCACCTGGGAGGTAGAGGGTACAGTGAGCTGTGATCACACCACTGTACTCCAGCCTGGGCAACAGAGTGAGACCCTGTCTCAAAAAATAAAACAAAAATAAAAAGAGAAACTCTTGCACATGTCACCAGAACATATGTACAAGGTTGGCTGAATAAATGTAGATGTCATCGTACAATGGAATACAACAGAGCAGAGCAAAGGGGTCACCTACAGCGCCATGCAGCCACATGGTTGAACCTCAAAAAACGGAATGTTGAGTGAAAGAAGTCAAGTCAGAACACACACTGTGTTTCCATTTATATACATCCACAAAACAACGTATCGTTTAGGAATACGTTCATATGCGGCAACTACAAGGAAAAGAAAGAAAATTATTAGCATGGATTGGTGGCTTTGTCTAGAAAAGGAAAGGGAAGGAGTGTCCCACTTGCAGGACATGTGCAGGCTACTCAACATTACATTCTTGTTCTTAAGCTGAACAATAGTGTAAAAGTGTTCATTTAATTTAATTTGATCTTTTTGTTTGTTTGTTTGTTTGTTTAGATGGAGTCTCACTCTGTCGCCCAGGCTGGAGTGCTGTGGCTCGATCTCTGCTCATTGCAATCTCCACCTCCCAACTTCAAGCGATTCTCCTGCCTCAGCCTCCCAGTAGCTGGGATGACAGGCACCCGCCACCACATCCAGCTAATTTTGTATTTTTAGGAGAGATGGGGTTTCACCTTGCTGGCGAGGCTGACCTCAAGTGATCCACCTGCCTTGGCCTCCCAAAGTGCTGGGATTATAGGTATGCGCTGCCCCGCCTGGCTATTAATTTTATTGTTAACAGCCACTGAAGTTTTATACAGGATCTCGTACATATGATATACTTCACAACAAAACATATTTTAAAGGAAATATGGGAAAGTTAATTTACTTTTTATAGTGAGAATCAATAAAAAATGCCCCAAACTGAAAAATCAAGAAGTAGCAATGTAAGCACTTTACTAGTCTTATAAATGTTGAACATCAAGGCTAAAAGAACTGAACATGGTTATTGCCAGAGAGCAAGACCTGGGAAGAAAGCGAGGAGCAGGTCTCTGGTTTTTTTGTTTTATTTTTTTTTTGAGACAGAGTTTTGCCCTTGTTGCCCAGGCTGGAGTGCAATGGCGTGATCTCGGCTCACCGCAACTTCCGTCTCCCGGGTTCAAGCAATTCTCTTACCTCAGCCTCCTGAGTAGCTGGGATTACAGGCATGCACCACTATGCCTGGCTAATTTTGTATTTTTAGTAGAGACGGGGTTCCTCCATGTTGGTCAGGCTGGTCTCGAACTCCCAACCTCAGATGATCCACCCACCTCGGCCTTCCAAAGTGCTGAGATTACAGGCGTGAGTCACCACACCCGACCTTCTGTTGCTTTTTATAACAAGTCTTGAAGAACTCTGACTCTTCATACCATGTGCTGTGTGACCCATTAAACTACAGAGAAGTTGTAAAAGCGGCATTCAATACCTAGAGTAGTCCAGTTCATGGAGACAGCAAGTGAAATAGGGGTTGCCAGTGGGCAAATGGGAAGCTGTTTCCTGAGGAGGTAGTTTCAGTTTAGGAAGATGAAAAAGTCCTAGAGATGGATGATGGTGATGGTTGCCGAACAGGGCAGATACACTTAATGCCGCTGAACTCCACACAACAAAATGGTAAATGTCTGTCATATATATTTGATCACATACACAAATTTAAAACTTAAAAAAAAAAAAACAGCTAAACAATAGAATTAGAGCCGAGTTAGTTAAAATGTGAAGGAGTTAACTAGACAGAGCGTGATGGGGAGATTGCAGGAAATCTGACTCTAGCCCTGAATCCCTTTCTCATTAAAGGTATTAATTCCCCTATCTAGCTGGGGACCACCCTGGGCGTCTCCGGAGATTGAATGAGGTACTCCAATATCTGCAAACAAAAGTTCCAAACTAAATTATGTGTTAGTCTCCGAAAGTCCCCTTTGGGTGCTTAATAAATACATCGAGTGTAATCTTTAAAAACAGAACAGAAGCACGATCGTTCCCATTCTAAAAAGATTCTTTGATTATCGAGAGGATTTGCCACTGTTTCTTAAAATGGAAGCTCTCCCAGTACACTCAAAATGTGATTTAATTAACAAAAAAACCAGGTTTATCCCACCTTTCAGAAATATGTCAAGCTGGCGCTTTCAGGAAATGAAATATTAAAAGTCCAAGAAAACAATGAAACGCACAAAAAGGCTGGTTAATGCTGCTCTGGACTAGAGGTTTGAAATCTACTTTCTCATGCAAATTCCAGCCTGGGGCCACCCACCGTGGGGAACCCCAGCCTACTGACCCTATCTCCCCAGTTTAACTAATTATGCCTTTTGCCTCCGTCACACACACCAGAGATTCTAATTCTTTTTTTTTGAGATGGAGTTTCGCGCTTGTTACCCAGGCTGGAGTGCAATGGCGCGATCTCGGCTCACCGCAACCTCCGCCTCCTGGGTTCAAGGCAATTCTCCTGCCTCAGCCTCCTGAGTAGCTGGGATTACAGCCGCACCCCACCATGCCCAGCTAATTTTTTGTATTTTTAGCAGAGACGGGGTTTCACCATGTTGACCAGAATGGTCTCCATCTCTTGACCTCGTGATCCACCCGCCTCAGCCTCCCAAAGTGCTGGGATTACAGGCTTGAGCCACCGCGCCTGGCCGAGATTCTAATTCTTTACAGGCATCTGCAAACACAAAGTCGTCATACGCTGGGGGGTCGTATTCCATTTGTGCCATCCCAGGAACCCTGTGTAAGGCCAGGCGTCTGCCCAGGACCTATGTGTTGACTAATTTGTTATTTCACTCATTCCAATGACTCCCTCAAGCTCAGGCAACCAAGCCTTTGCATCTGGACCTTCACCCTTGCCTGCTCCGCTCAGCTCTGCCTCCCTCAGCCCAGAGCTCCTAAATCTTTGTTCTGACCTGCTCCCCGTGTTTAGTTACTGGACCTCACTCTCACCCCCCCACAACCAGGGACCTCCCTCCCCTGGTGTCATCCTCAAATGCAGGCCTCTAACACCAAGGTCTTGCCTCCATCTCCCCCAGGACGTACGTCCCTGACCAGACATAAGCCCAGCAGTTGATATAATTCTTGGGCAACCCTCTGCCACATGGCTGCCTCCATCCAGGCACCCAGCTGGCCTCCTCTCAACTGTACTTCACCCACCCCTTCCCTGCCAGCTGGATGCCTGGATAGAGGCCAGACTCACCCCCGCCCACCAGCCACAGGGCAGCAAGAGCTATGGGTTGGAGTGCCAGAGCATGTCACTTGCTAAACCCCTCAGAGATACTGGGAGGAAGTGGGCTGGGGCTGGGGCTCCCTGGGTGGGTGCCTAGTGTCCGGTCCTCTGGGACCTACCTAGTGACCACCATGAGATGCCCAAGAGCGCAGGCTGAGGGTCTGCTCCCAGTGAGACAGTGGGTTGGTAGCCTACAGGTGAAGGAAGGGGTGCAGCTGCAGCCAAGGCCAGCCCCTTGGGCCTGGAGAGCCACCGTACAGCCCTGTGTGGCGCTTTCAAAGACCTCACCATGTAGAGGAAAGGTAAGGGTGACCCACACGCTTTCCCTGTACAGGGGCCAGAACATTTTTTTCTGGAAAGGGCCAAAAAGCAAATATTTTAGGCTTTGGGGATCCAGAAAGTAAGACAGAGCAACTGTTCTCACTGAAGAGTCTGGTTTTTCTCTTTAATTAAAAAAAATTTTTGGTCAGGCACAGTGGCTCACACCTGAAATCCCAGCACTTTGGGAGGGGCAGATCATGAGGTCAAGAGATCAACCATCCTGGCTAAAATGGTGAAACCCCGTCTCTATGAAAAATATAAAAAATTAGCTGGGCGTGATGGTGCACGCCTGTAGTCCCAGCTACTCAGGAGGCTGAGGCAGGAGAATTGCTTGAAACTGGGGGACAGAGATCACAGTGAGCTGAGATCGCGCCACTGTACTCCAGCCTGGGCGACAGAACGAGGCTCCGTCTTAAAAAAAAAATTTTGTAGAGAAGGGGTCTTGCTATGTTGCCCAGGGGTCTTGCTATGAGGCTATGAACTCCTGGGCTCAAGGGATCTCCCACCTCAGATTCCCAAAGTGCTGGGGTTACAGGCACAAGCCACTGTGCCCAGCCTGAAGAGTCTTTTTTATATTTAAAAATGTAAAAACCATTTTTAGCTTGAGACTAGATTTGATCTGCAGGCCGTAGTTTGCCTGCCGGGTCTACTTGAAGAGGCAGGCATTTGTTTATGAGATTATTCAAGTCTATTAGAGAGCTCAAGGTAAATCAGAGTCAAGAATCAGAAGCATTTTCAATCACATCCAGTGATTTCCAAAGTGAGGCATTCATTTCTACCAGGGGGTAAAGGACGAAGCTATTAAGACTAGCTATATTTTTATCTCATTCTTTTTATTTCAATTTTTATGTTGTATAAAATATGTGAGTGCAGTGGCATTTGAACATAATTTATAAATACATAATTACATATGTTGAGCGTGACAAGCTAGTTTTTTTTTTAATTATAGGGATGCAGGATGAAAAAATCTGAAGACTTCTGCCTAAAGTTCTTACATGAATTTATTTTGCACATGTATTTTGCACACTGCCGTGCCTTTGTTTCTCTAAGTGCCTCTTTCACATAGTGTTGGGTGGCAAAGTCTGATTTTTAAAATTAAAATTTATTTAAATTCATGCTGATAGATATTGCAGAATTTCACTATCCTTGAAAGCTATGTATTATGAAGTGAAAGCTATTTCCGGAGCACCACTATGAGCAAGGTTCTGCCTTTGTAACCTCATGTCTGGTTTTTGATCAAAGTTCACTTGCAAATGATACTAGACCACTTCACATGTAGTACAGGTACCTTATAACAAAGTGTTCCCAATTTTTTTCTCCTGTCCCTTATGACATCGCTGAAATTTATTTCACTTATCCATATGTTTTAATCACACAATACATTGCTACTATTATTGCTTTAAACAAATAGTTATCTTTTAGATAAATTAAGAATAAGAAAATAAGATTATTTTACTTTCATTTATTCCTTCTTCTTCCCTTTATGTATATCTGAATTTCTGACATACTATTTTCCTACTCACTGAAATACTTCTTTTAGCATTTCTTGTAGAGCAGATCAACTGGTGATAAATTCCCTCAGTATTTGTCTGTCTGAGAAAATATTTATCCTTCACTGTCTTTCTTTCTCTCCTTCCTTCCTTCCTTCCTTCCTTCTCTCAGAGTCTCATTCTGTCACCCAGGCTGGGGTACAGGGGTGCAGTGGCATGATCTCAGCTCACTGCAACCTCCACCTCCTGTATTCAAGTGATTCTCCTGCCTCAGCCTTTTGAGTAGCTGGGATTACAGGTGGGTGCCACCATGCCTGGCTCATTTTTGTATTTTTGGTAGAAACAGGGTTTTGTCATGTTGACCCGGCTGGCCTCAAAGTCCTGACCTCAGGTGATCTGCCTTCCTCAGTCTCCCAAAGTGCTGGGATTACAGGCATGAGCCATTGTGCCCAGCCTATCCTTTGCTCTTGAAGGATAATGTCACTGGGTATATAATTCTAGGTTGCTGGGTTTTTTCCTGTCAACACTTTAAATATTTCACTTCACTTTCTACTTGCTGGCATAGTTTCTGACAAGAAGTTGGCTGTGGTTTTCATTCTTGCTCTCTACAGGTATAGTGGTCAAGTGTTCCCTCTGGCTTCTTTCAAGACTTCGTTTTATTTTTCAGTTTATGTTCTGCGTAGGTATAGTCTATTGGTATTTATCTTTCTTGGTTTTCTCTGAGATTCCTAGATATATGTTTGGTGTCTATTAATTTTAGAAAATTCTCAAGCATATTACTTTAAATATCTATTTGGCTCTGTTTTCTCTTTTCTTTCTGGCATTCCCATTACATGTACATTACACCTTTTGAAATTGTCCCGCAGTTCT